GAATTTCCATGTCTAGAGCAAAGAAAGAAAAAGAACCTGGAAGAAGTAGCTGTCAATAAAGTACAAGGACATCTAAGTAAGTGTGATAACCTGGAAACCAAGTGAGAAAATGTGCCAAGGGTGAGGAAGTGACCAACTATACCAAATAACGCTGAAAGATCCAGTAAAAGGACTGAAAAAAGACCACTGGATTTAGCTACGTAGAGTCCATCAGTGACCTTCGACAAGAGCAGAAACAAAGACCTGATTGCAGGAGGTGCAAGAGAGAACTGGAGGCAATGAGTATTAGACACCTCAACTGAGTGTCTATTAAGTGAAGAAATGGAGTGGCAGGTGGAGGGGGATGCAGTATGTATATATTGACATATATTTATAAATATATATATTCAAGACGAGAAAAACTACACATTATTATGCTGAAGGGAAAGATTCAGTAGCCAAGGGAAAAAAAAGATGCAGGAAAACAGTTGTAAGAACGATGTCCTAGTTTGAGGATGGGATCTAATACATCAGAAGAGAAGTTGGTCTTAGGTAAGAGAACCAAGTGTCAACCACAGTAACAGCAAGGAAAGGAAGAACGCACAGACAAGATGCACGTAGGGTGAGTAGTTATCTTTTGATGGCTTTTATTTTTCTCAGTTAACTAGGAAACAAGGTCACCAGCTGAGTGAGGATGGGGTAAAGTGCTGGAGGTTGAGAAGAGAGAAGCTATAAAATAGGATCTTAGGAGACTGGGATAATGACTGGAGCAGGGAAACAAATGCTTGAGGTTAGCAGTCAGGAATTTCAAGTGGGACTAGTCACCATGGCTCCGTTTTTCTCCAGCCACATTTAGCCACATGGGTGCAGTAGTGTAACAGGCAGAGCTAGGGGTTTTTTTTTGTTTTTGCCAGATGCTTTGGTTCCTTCATTTAAGTACTGCATTGTATTAACTTATAAGAATATGCCACAATTTATTAGCCCACTCACTTACTGACAGACATTTGGTTGTGTCCCTATTTTTACTGTCAAACACTGCTGCAATGGGCATCCTTGTGCATGTCTTTGTGCTCACATGGGAGAATTTCTAGTCTAGGGTATATATCTAGAAGTGGAACTGCTGGGTCGTGAGGTGTGCTTACCTTCAATTTTACTGGATACTGCCAAATGACTCCCCAAAATGATTATACTAATTTACTCTCTCACCTGCAGTGGATACGAGTTCTCATTTTCCCCCTGCCAGACTTCTAAATTTTTGCCAGCCTAATGGGCATGAAATAGTAACTTACTGCCTTCTTTTGCAGTATTCTGAGTTCAAGATTGAGAACCTTTTCATTTATAACCATTTCATCTATCAACAAATCTCCACTCCATCGCTCACCTAACAAGACAATATTAAGTACCTACTATGTGCCTGGCATTGTGATAAGCAGGGGAACAAAAGTTAGCAAGAGACATGGACCCTGCCCTTCTGGAACTCACAATTGAGTGTGGGGTCGGGGTGGGGAGACAAGCAAATAATCACAAATTGTGGTAATATGAAGGACATTAACAGTAATCTATGAAAATCTATGAAAAGAAGGAGACTGATTTGAAGTAGGGCAGTCAGTAAACCTTTCCTGAAGTGAGATTTGCATTTTAACAGATGAGTAAAAATTAACTAGCTCAGCAGCTATAAAGAATTGGGCCTCACCATCATCCGTATGTCTAACAACTACAGAAGTGTTTCCTTATCTTCCCATGCTGGCATAGAGCTGTGCTAGATGCTTTGCGGAAATAATGCCTACCCTGGGCCCCTTACCCAGACACACCTTGGCACCAGGAGTGGGAGACTGATTTTCTCCTGGCTCCCTTCCGCAATTTTGAGACTATCACTCCTGTGATGTTGTATCCAGTTTATTCTTGTATGAGTCTCACATCATCTGGTTATACTAACCTATACATGCTGACCCAGTGATCCCATTTTGGACATTTTATCTCATTCTGGATATTTTAAGAAAAGATTCTATAGGAAAAAAAGGAGAGGTGCTTAAAAAAGATAAAAGCATTCAATGTCATCATTATAAAAACCAATACCAAAAACAATCCAAGTATGTTGCAACAGTAGGGAACTTGTTAAGGAGATCTTGAGACTGCGTAGCAGCATGGAAAATATTTATGAGAAACTTTTTTTAAGTATGATACAAGATTTTATCTACAGTATGGGCAAATGTAAATAACTGATATATTAAGTGTGAAGGTCGTGGGTGAATTTAGGGGATTTAATTTACTGAAATAGTCAGGAAAAACATTCCAAAGCCCTTCATCATTTTGTTTCTGCATGGTCTACAACCTAAGCCAGCACCATATTCCTTCATACACTCACTCCCAAACGATGCTGTGTCATATGAAGCTCCTTGAACATAACATGGCTCTGGAGACAGAGTCAGAGGTTAAGCGCTACGTCTTTGCAGCCAGACAGTCCTGGGTTCAAAGCCAGAATCTGACATGGGCAGTACTACCTCAGGTGAACCACTTTACCTCTCTGGGTTTTTCCCCCTATTATAAAACAAGAATATAATACATTGTACTAGGTTTCTTTAATGCAAGCAACAGAACTCTGACACATTAGCTTAATCAAAAAGGGGGAATCATTGGACTGATAGCGGGGAGGCCAGTGAATCCCAGGAAAGGCTTCAGAAATTAAGCCAGGACCAAGGACCTCAGGGATTAGAAATAAGAACACCATCATGTCAGCTGCATCCTCTCCTACTACAAAAGACCTCCCCCTCTCTGATAAGGAATCGGGCTCCAGGCAGCTCAAGGCCTTTACCTTTCCAGCCTAGCAAGCCAAAATTAAAGTGTCCCTGCCAACTCTATTTTGAAAAACTTCTGGCAAAGGACTCTGATTGACTCAACTAGGTCACATACTTGCCCCTCTAACTATCACCAAGCCCTAGGGATGTCCTGATTTGTGTTCCTGTGGTCAGTACAGCACGGACTGTTACAAGAGGAAGAGGGAGAAAACAGCTGGGCAAAGACAAGAGCTACCACAAGACCTAGAATGGGGAGTTGTAAGGATTAATGAAATGATGGCTATAAAATACTTAGCACAATTTCTTTCAAGTAGTAAGCGTTCAATAAATGGTACCTATTAACTCACCTGTGATTAGTTTAGCAGTTAATCCCTCCTCCTTGATGCACCACTCTTTAGTCTTAGCCAAGTTCTGAAAATTGAAACAAGACAAACTGACTCCCATCAACTAAGAAGGCTATTTATTGAAATAATACAATGATGTTACAAGGATGCATTTCACATGGCCTACAAAGCTGGGTGTTCATAAGTGCATGGTGCATGGTTGCTGGGACTACAGAATCCTCTGCTCTATCACACACACATCCCTGGCTCCCTCCCTGTCAATGAAGATGCAGTGAGATTCAGAGGTTGGTTTGATCTAGGCCAGGCTCCACACACAAACCAGTGGTCTCCTCTGGGTCTTCTGGAACTAAGTCTTTACAAACTTCTGTAACAGTAGGGTAGCACTCAATTGGTTACAATTCATGCCATTCTTGCAAAAAGTCCACTATGGGGATCCCCAAACAATCAGCAGCAAAATGAGTTCCTGATAGGTACCCTAGCCAATCAGTAGGGGAGGGATGGAGTAGAATTACCCACTGTCAAACTAAGTATCAGACAACACAAGCATGGCCTTGACATTCTGTATGCTCTAAGCACAGAACATCACAAACAAGGTATTTTTGAATAGATAACGTCTTGGAAGGGCAGATCTGCTGTGGAGCATCCCATGTTTGTTCCACGTGATAGACTCATTGAGCTAGACATCCCACATTTCAGCCCCCATGTACATTCTTCCTGCAAAGAATTATGAAGAATGTTTGGGAGCTGCCTCATGTTGTCCAGAATGAGACAAGGATGATGGATCCGGCTACCTGGCATGCAAAGAAGCCATCAGGCAAGGTTTACCTTCAACACCACCCATATCACTCCTTCCCATGATCCATCATTAGGGTGGGAAAATTTGCTTATCTGAAGAGGGGAGAGGCTCTTGTGTGAAAGGGGTCAACATCCACAGTTGCTTCCAAATTTATCTGCACTGTCAGTGCCAATGAGCCAACAAAGGTTCTGGAAACTCCTTTAGGATAGTCCATGGGAGGCATTAGGGGACATTAAATATTGGAGTGGGCTACTGAAGTTTAGCTCATGCTTTACTGATGGAAAAGCAGCATAGAGCTAAAAAAGTTGTTTTATGGTGAAATATTTTCTTGGCACACAAAGTGAGCCATTACATGATGATTCTTTAAACCGATTTAAAGACAAATTTTATGGCAATGGGTAATTGGATTTATACTTCTCTACAATAAAATTAATTTGGGGGAAAATTCTCCTCTTAGTTTTGTGCTGTTTTCCCATTGATCCAATGTAGGAAGCTTGGGGCAGTGCTCTTTCATGGGAGTGTTGTAAAAAGCACAATAAGAGGATTTAATAGTTCTGTGAAACTGACGTACGTTAACTGAAAGTATAATTATGATACTTGGGAAAAGGAAAAAAGTCACCAGTAGTTCAACTATTTACAGTTTCTGTTAACATTTTGGTTTGTAAGCTTCCACCAAGCTGCTTTAGCTAAGTCTGTGACAAATTTGCACATGTTATGCTGCCTCTTATGCTTTTATGAATTCCCAAAGTACCCAACTCATAAATGCTCATTAAACGTTTGTGCATCTGATTTATTTTATTTTAAAGCCCTCTGAATTCCAAAATACCTTTTTAGTGGCAAGGCCATGGGGCCAAAGATCCAAGAGACCTGCATTCTCCACCCAGCTTTGCCATTGTAAGCTGCATCGCACTGTGCAAACCACTTCACATCTTTGGCTTTCAGTTTCTTCATCTGTACAATGAAGTGGTTGGACCAGCTGATCTAATTCTTTGAATGGTGAATTCCTGGAGGTGGAATTGGTTTCCATGGTGAATTTAATGTAAGAACTACAGTTGAATGCAGTTGTCAAGCAATTTTAAAAGTGAGTTTTGGTCACTACTGCAGGATTTTTAATTATTAGAAAAGTCTGTAAATAAGAGTTACAAGTCAAACTGTTCAAAGTTGGTGATCTCCTGCATACATATATTCAAAAGCTTTATAAAGTCCAATATTTAAGCATATCATTTCCAACTGGTTATATATGATGCTTGTAGTTGTTTTTACAAAAATCTATAATCATATCTGAGAATGTGGATTTATTTAAAAAACTGTCTCCTAGCAGTTTTCTCCATACACAACATACAAACACACACATAACTGATTACATTCTCAAGCTTTCTCTCACATAAGAATCCTCTGATACTGAACAATATTTTAGCTAAAGCTTCCTGCACATTCCTTAATTTCAGGCTATCTAGAGTTTATTTCGTGTATGAATTCTCTGGTGTTTAGTAAGAGCTGAGCTTCGACTGAAGTTTTTCCCACATTCCTTACAAGCATAGGGTTTTTCTCCAGTATGAATTCTCTGATGATCATGCAGATTGGTTTTCTTTCGGAAGGCTCGCCCACATTCATTACATTCATAGGGTTTTTCTCCAGTATGAGTTCTCTCATGCTGAATGAGGGAAGAACTTTGACTGAAGGCTTTCCCACAGTCAATACATTCATAGGGTTTCTCGCCAGTGTGGGTTCTCTCATGTTGAGTAAGTGATGAGCGTCGACTGAATGCTTCTCCACATTCATTACATTCATAGGGTTTTTCTCCAGTATGAATTCTGTGATGCTCTATGAAACTTGTACTCCTTTTGAAAGCTTTTCCACATACATTACACTGATAGGGTTTCTCTCCAGGATGAGAAATAGGTTGTCGACTCAAGTCCTGCTCACAATCATAAGGGTTCTCTCCAGTATGGATCCTCTGATGGTCAGTAAACTCTGCAATGTGACTGAAGTTTTCCCCACAGTCATTACAACGATAGGATTTCACTTCAGTAAGAGTGCTTTCATCTTGAGTAAGAGATGAACTGTGCTTGAAATCTATGCTGTAGTTATTGCTTTGGTAAGGTTTTCCTCTCTTATGAATCCTCATATGTTTATAAAGGGATGGGCTCTGACCAAAAGCCCTCCCACATATGCTACATTCAAAAGGTTTCTCTCCTGTATGAGTCCTCTCATGCTGCACAAGGGAAGAACATCGACTAAAGGCTTTCCCACATTCCTTACACTGGAAGGGTTTCTCTCCACTATGCGTGACCTCATGTTGAGTGAGGGATGTGCCATGCCTAAAAGACCGCCCACATAAATTACATCGATAGGGTTTTTCTCCAGTGTGAATTCTCTGGTGTTGAACAAGGGAGGAGCTGCGCTGGAAGGCTTTCCCACAGAGACTACATTGGTAGGGTTTCTCTCCGGTATGAGCATTCTCATGCTGACCAAGGGATGAGCTATGCCGGAAAGCCTTCCCACACACATTACATTCAAAGGGCTTTTCCCCAGTGTGAATTCTCTGATGCTCAGTAAGTTGTGTTTTCCAGAGGAAGGTTTTCCCACAGTCAGTACATTCATGGTGTTTCTTTCCAGGATAAATTCCCTGATCTGTACCATTGGGGAAGGCTCCCTCTCCTTTATGAGTTTTCTCATGTTTAGTAAGTGATGATCTATGAATAAAGGCTTTTCTACATTTATTACATTTATAAGGTTTCTTTTTTACAAGGATATTACTCTGATTAAGTAAGTCTGAATTATGTCCCAAACTGCTTTCAAGTGTATCACATTCACTAGGCCTTGAAGGAATGTTCAGTTGTGTAACCAGGTTTGTGTTCAATCTAGAGTTTTCACCAAATTTATTTTGCTCAAAACTTTCCTCTGGTGTGATTATTTTCTTCTGGGTGGATGCATCTGGCCCCAGATATCTCTTCCAGTTTTCCCGGTGCTTCTCTAATTGGCTACTAACATCCCAAACATCTTCTAATGTGGCATGTGAGAGATCATCTGTGCTACGGGATATTTCAGATATGCTCTGCTGCAGATTTGATGATTTGGCTTCAGGCCTGGTCTTCCAGTCTGAAAGAAATCCAAAGTGCAAAAGTCCCCTATTCCCTCCCGTTGAAACAAATGCTACAGTAGGAATGAAGAAATGAAAGATATAAATTATACATGACTCTGTTTTGAAATTAGTCCTATAGCTTGGGGAGAAGATCCAAAATGCTAGAAAAGAAGAGCAAAGAGGTGATAGTGCAGATTGCAGAGCCAGAGTGCATGGTAAATCCAGAATGAGGAAGCCCATCTAGGAGGGGTGCTTAGGGAATAAGGGAATAAGTGAGCATGAGAGTGTCAGGCATAGATACAAATGGAATAGGATCAGAGTCCATCTTGCAGGATCCTATCTGCTCTCCATGCCCCCTGTCCGTTTTACAAACCACCACAGAATCTATCTTCCTGAGTGCATCCATTTCATGATTTCTTTAAAGTCACCTCTGAGGCTCCAGATCTTCAAACCCTGCAGAGAAAATCTGCAGCCAGTGATCTAACTGAAATGATTCTCTGACATAATTGGAGATCAAAGGTTATACTTCACAAGCCGAAAAAAATTAATATTTCAGGAGGCAAATCATCCTTGCCCTTGGATCTGGGGCTATGGTTTTAGTCTATTTGAGTTCTGGTTCTACACTAATCATGTCTCTTAACCAAAAAGGATTTATTTTAATCTTCCTAATAAATTGACCTCTAAACCTCTGTTTAACCTCAGAATACTAATAGCAGAGAATTAATTAATTTATAGGTTCTAAGAATGGCACCCTTTAAAAACTAAGGGGAGGGAGTTTTCTGGGGTGATGGAAATGTTTCGTATCGACAGGAGTTTGGGTTAGGTGGGTGAATACATTTGTCAAAACCAACTGGATGGTACATAAAAGAGTTGTATATTTCATTGTATGTTATGTGTTCTTAAAAAAAACCCCAAATATTGAACTGTAGTTAGTGATATGCACGCTGAAGTATGTAGGGGTGAAAGGTACTCATATCTGCAACTTACTTGGAGATGCATCAAAAAGTAAAATAGATTGACAGATGGACAGATGAAGAGATATGTGATAAAGCAAAAAGAACAAACGTTAACAATTATAGAATCTTGGTGGTAGGTATATGGTGTTCACTGTATAATTTTTTCAACTTCTCGTATGTTTGAAAATTTTCATAATAAAATGTTAGGAGGAAAAAAAACAGCAACTAAGGAGCCCTAAACCCCAAAATTCCTTACCCTGGAACAAGATTCAATTCTAAATTCCCAAGGACAGAGAATGCTTTGTATTTCTTTTAGAATACTTCTCAGTGGGACATTCAAGAAATGTTGTTGAAATGAATGAATGAGAAAGTTCTCCCCCCCGGCCAGATTCCATATCAATCAATCAAGTAATTTCTGACTGCCTTCTATATGCTCTGCAACACAGATAGAATATACAGAAATACAGTAAACTCTCTAGGATCTTGAAATCTAAGAATAGAAACAAGACTCAATCTTTTGACAACTAAACAAAAAAAGCAAAACCATCAGACGGTATATTATTAAATCTGAATTTGTGTGGTAGAGATGATATAAATGCTATCTGTGATCAGGGAAGGTAGAAATAAATATATTAGCATATATTAGGTTTCATGGATTAGACAGACCTTGAACTTAAAGGATAGATAGCTTTGGATCGGCAGAAAGTATTATCTAATGAGGGAAAGTGTATGCTACTTACAGAAAACATTTAAAAGAAGTTCAACTTAAGTGCAGCTTGTGTTAGTAGGAATAGAAAGATAATACTGGAAGGTATGATGGAAATCTTTAAATCAAGGGAGTTTCTATTTCCTATAATGAGGTACAGGGAGTAACAGCAAAGTTTTGTGAGAGGTGGGTGGTTTACGAAAATAAAGCATTAAAATCTATATGGTCCAACAAGTGATAAATAGATGAACAAAATGTAGTATATCCATACCATGGAATATTACTTAGCAATACAAAGGAATGAAGTCATATATGCTACAACACGAATGAACCTTGAAAACATTATGCCAAGTGAAAGAAGCCAGTCACAAAGGGCTATATATTATATGATTCCACTTGTAGAAAATATCCAGAATAGGCAAATCCAGAGAGATAAAAAGTAGATTAATGGTTGCCAGGAGCTGGGGGTAATGGGGAATGGAAAGTGACAGCTAATGGGTATGAGATTTCTTTTTGGGGTGTTGAACATGTTCTGTAATTAGACAATAGCGATGGTTGCACAACTCTATATATCTGAAAAACCACTGAATTGTACACTTAAAAAGGGTAAATTTTATGGTATGTGAATTATCTCTCAATAAAGCTATGATTAAAAAAATCCAATATGGAGTATAAAAAGAAAAGATGCAGTAGCAATTTCAACTGGGAATTATAGTAATATATGCCTGGGGACTGGTTTAGGATGTCACTGATGGGAGTTAAAAGGCAGGAAAATCTAAGATACTTCTCAAAGGAGTAAAATAACTGAAGTTGAAAGAAAAAGACGAAACTGACTGTGGTATCTGGCCTGAGGGATTAGAGATTTTATTTATTTATTTATTTTTCCCCCAAAGTCCCAGTGGATAGTTGTATGTCATAGCTGCACATCTTTCTAGTTGCTGTATATGGGATGCGACCTCGGCATGGCCGGAGAAGCAGTGTGTTGGTGCGCGCCCGGGATCCAAACCCGGGCCGCCAGCAGCGGAGCGCGAGCACTTAACCGCTAAGCCACGGGGCCGGCCCTGGCCTGAGGGATTAGAAATCCAGTGGTTTCTAATGGGCAAAGGGAGAAACAGATAATGGGCAAGGTAGCAAAATGTGCTGGCTGGGGATGAACGATGATTAATTTAGATTTTATGTCTTTAGATAAGAACTGAGTGGGACTCCCAAGTGGAGGGGTTCTGTGAGAAGGAAAAAAAGTGACCAGGCTACAAGTAAGGACAATTTCTGAGTCTACCGCATAGAATAAAGAGCTGCAACCACCACGAGGCAGGCTCCCTTTTAGGGAGGTATTATAGAAAGAAAGGGAAGGAACCTGCAGGGAAGACTCCTTAAGGCAGATTCGCTTAAGGGAAAAAGCAAGAAAAGTCAAAGAACTAAAGCCAAGAAGCACTTAGCAAGCCAGGAGACCAGGAGAGGATGATATTCCAGGAACCGTGGAGGGAAGCAATGAATCAAATCGGCATGAAGGCAGGACAGAAGATGGTATTGCTCCCCAGACAGGTGTTACAGGAATGTAGTTGGGAAAGAAGTCTGAAGGCAAGTTATGGAGAGAGAGAGAATCAAGGCTGTGGGTATTTCCTACAAGTCTGGGGCCACCGACAGTGAAAGTAGCAAGACAAAGCAAGGAGGAGACACAGAAGTTCAGTTAATGTCTGAATGAGTGAGAAAAGTGTTCTCTAAATAATGAAGGGAGACTGAGAACACCAGAAGAGAAAATAATCCAGCAAGTAGGGTTGTAGCATAGGGAGAGATAGTATTCTGAGTATAGGACAAAGGGCTACTTTTGGAAAGGAAAAAGGGGTACCTTTCCTTCTAAGACCTAGCAGCAGGAGCACCCTACTGGAGAAGGGAGACGGGGAGATGGCTCAGCCTCTTCTGCAGGTCTAGGAGCTCCCAAGGCAGCAATTCAAAGGTGCTTCCCCCTCCCTCAGCTGTCTGCACTGATTATTATATGCTTGACTCTCACTCAGTTACCTGGACAGAAAGGTCTTTGGATTTCTCCCTCTGTTATCCACGGCTCTTCTCCTTGCTCCAATTTGAAGATCACCTCTGGCTTGGAAACTTGATATCCTGCTCATGGGTAAATATACAATTTGGTTGTTTGTGCAAGTGGACAAAGAACCCTCCTACAAGTCAGTACTAGTCCTTGATCCTCAGGAACTCTGAAGGAAAATAAAGGTACAACTTGAAGAGACATGCAATCAAATGGCCTACTTCCAATTCTGCAAAAGACAGACGTTTTACCTAAAGAGCAGGCTCAGAAATCTGTAAAGCTGGGTCCCAAAAAGATGAACAAGCTCTGACTCTAAACACCCTGCTCACAGTCACCCAAGCTATGAGCCCCACAACCGTAGCAACTGAGAAAGGAAAGACGCGCCAAAACGTAAGACACTGAGAGGTGGTCCTTACCAAGAAAAACCAGGTGGCTATAGTTCTCCAGCATCACATCCCTGTACAAGCGCCTCTGAGCAGGGTCCATGTGGTGCCATTCTTCCTGGGTGAAGTCCACAGCCACATCCTTGAAGGTCACTGATTCCTGTAGGATCACATTCCTGCTCAAGTAGGGATCAACCCCACAAATGTTCCCATGGCAATACTGGGAACATACTGTAGGGTCAATCAGAAGCAGTGATCACATATTTTGATATCCTGAGGGGGCAATGTTGGGCTAAACGTACTAGCTGTTCATATAATTTTATAAAGAATCCAACGTGGCAGGTGGGAAAGTCATGAGGGGCAATGTGTCTTGCAATCCTATATCCCTACTTAGTTTTCTTCTTGTTTCCCTTAAAAGCCAAGCCTTTTTACACAATCACCAATTCCTCACTGTCTGTGCACTTCCTTCGTTACAAAATCCAAATACAATGAGGAGTAAAAAGTGACGGCCCTCCTTCACCCCCACCACCAATCCCACTATACTCCCTAGAAATAATCACTTTAACAATTTGGTGTATCCACTTAAAAGTTCCTTTTCCATGTTTCTCTCTCTCTCTCTCTCTCTCTCTCTCTCTCTCTCTCTCACACACACACACACACACACACACACACACACAGTCTTGTTTTGTGAAATACCATACATATTGTTCTACAATTGCTTTTTATTTCTTTTGTGAGGAAGATCAGCCCTGTGCTAACATCTGCCAATCCTCCTCTTTTTTTGCTGAGGAAGACTGGCCCTGGGCTAACATCTGTGCCCATCTTCCTCCACTTCATATGGGACGCCGCCACAGCATGGCTTGCCAAGCGGTGCGTCGGTGCGCGCCCGGGATCCAAACCGGCGAACCCCAGGCTGCTGCAGTGGAGTGTGTACACTTAACCACTTGCGCCACTTGGGCCGGCCCCTACAGTTGCTTTTTACATTTAACTACGTATCTTGGAGATCCTCCCATAGCAGTATATTTAATTTCACCTTGTCCCTTTTAACTCCTTCATAGCACTCCATAGTATAGTTGTATCAGAACATACCCATTACCTAAAACCGACAGCACCCCATTGTACTAAGAATAAGATTCAGACTCCTGCATCACTCACTGGGCTCTAGCCATGCTGACCTTACCGATCCCTGAACACATCAAGCCTATTCCCACCCCAGGGCTTTATGCTTGGTACTCCCTCTCCCCCTAGGATCTCCACATGGTTGACAACTAGTTAGTAGTCATTTAAGTCTCACCTCTAGCACTGCCTCCTCAGAAAAGTTGTCTTAGCACTTCCCTCTAATTTACTCTCTATCACATTACCATGTTTAATTTTTCTCCTAGCACAGGTATCTCTCACTGTCCAAATCTCTGCCTGAACTCAGGAACCAAACAGATTCAGATAAAAGGGCACTCGTACTTTATCTGAGACTGCTTACTTGTTAGATTCTCCATCTCCCTCACTGTAAGCTCCACGAGAACAGGGACTTGATCTATGTTATCACAGTTATATACCCAGTGCCTAGAAGGATGCCCAACACATAGAGGCGCTTAAAAAATACTTGGTGAATGAATAAATGGACCAGTTCCTGTTAACAGACATTTGGATTATTTCCAACATTTTGCTATTACAAACATTTCGCAATACATATTCTTTGTGCAAATATGCTAGAATTTCTGTAGGTTAGCTAGCTAGAATTGGAATTGCTAGGTCAAAGGTCTTTTCATGCTTCATACCCCATTCCCATCACTTCTTCCTCACCAGCCCACAGAAACCAGGCTGGCTGAGGAACCCCATGGCTCTCAATTGTCAGTTCCGATGCTTGCCTCAGTAGGCCTTGTTAAGCCATGAGACACTTGTCACCATGTCCTACTTGAAATATCTCCTTTGGTTAGATTTATACCTCAAGAAGTGTATAATAAAGACAATCAGTACGAAAAGACATGGAAAGCAGAGCCGTGAATTTGCTGGAGCAGTGAGGGAAGGTCACATGGAGGTTTCTGCCTTATTCCCTGCCCTTCTCCCCGTGTGCTTAGCTATAGCTGAACTTCTCTCAGTTGCCTGGATAGTATCATTTTCTCCCTACTGTCCTACCAATCTTTCCCTTGCTAATTCCATTTCACACTTCAGCTGTTGCTTAACAGATCCTCAGTGAAGTGTTCTGATTCCCCATTGGAGGGTCAATCCCCTATTACGTGCTTTAAGTTACTTACCACACCCATAAGTATGCAAACAGACATAATAATCTATTTAATGCTTATTTCCTAGTTAGATGGTGAGCATTAACAGGGCAGGGAATATACCTTTGTTTTTTAAACTCTAAAACACCAGTATCCAGCATGCGCCTGACCACCCTCAACATCTGTTTCCTGACTGAGTTGAGCCTTAAGGAGATGGCTGAGATCTGAATTTTAGAGAAGACAGGAGTTGGCCCCATCTCCTCCTGAGTGAGGTGCATGACTGTATCCACACACAACAATGGCTCCTCTGTATCATATTCCTGCTCAACACCGCGGCTGTGCCCCACAGGAAAGGGTTGAAATGTGGCAGATTTTTCCGACTGAAGTCACAAATCTGACTGCACCAGGTAAGATGACACTAGATATTTACTAGGTGCCCGGCTTTACTATATGCACTGTGGCAGAATAAAAAGGCAAATCAAAAACACTGCAGTCCTGGGGCCGGCCTGGTGGCACAAGCGGTTAAGTGTTCGCGCTCTGCTGTGGCGGCCCAGGGTTCGCGGGTTTGGATACCGGGCATGCACCGACACGTTGCTTGTCAAGCCACAGGCGGCGTGCCATATAAAGTAGAGGAAGATAGGCACGGATGTTAGCTCAGGGCCAATCTTCCTCAGCAAAAAAAGAGGATTGGCATCGGATGTTACCTCAGGGCTGATCTTCCTCACAAAAAACAAAACAAAACAACAACAAAACAAAACACTGCAGTTCTAGGGCCGGCCCAGTGGCGCAGCGGTTAAGTGCGTGCGCTCCGCTTCGGTGGCCCGGGGTTCGCAGGTTTGGATCCCGGGCATGCACCGACGCACCGCTTGTCAAGCCATGCTGTGGCAGCGTCCCATATAAAGTAGAGGAAGATGGGCACGGATGTTAGCCCAGGGTCAATCTTCCTCAGCAAAAAGAGGATTCGCATTGGATGTTAGCTCAGGGCTGATCTTCCTCACAAAAAACAAACAAACAAAAAACACTGCAGTCCTTGAATAGGTTTAGGTTTATTTTAAAACGTGTTATTTATTTGAGCACGATATGAGACAATACACAGTAAAGTGAGGTTATGCTACAGGCATTCAGGGCAGGGAACACTGCGAGACAGAGAGAAGCTTCAAGGTAGGCTATGCATCGGGCCTTATGAGGTAAGTACCAATTGGATGGGAGAAGAAAAAGTGGGAATCTAATCCAAGAATTAAGAAGCTTGAGAAGGGAGGCTGGACTTGGGAAGTGCACGGCCAGCAGGAAAGAAGGGTTTGGACCAAGGCAGACCAATTTTAAGTTAGGTTATGAGAAGTAAATACCTTCTCCCTCTTGCCTACTGCTCTCTAAATATATAGCCTCTTTGGTTTAGTAAGAGATAGCAACCAACCTGGATTCCCTTGCTTAACTGGTTCCCCATATTAACACATGGTTTCCTGCCTTTCCCCAAATAGGCCGCCCTAACGGTAAACAATGCACTGACCAGTAAACAAATGTCTAGTCCAAGCTACTCATCGTTTTTTGCCCTGGCAGGGCAACAACTGGCCTCTGTGCTTCTACTCCTGGTCTCACCAACTCTTTCTCCTACACACTATCAGAGTCACTTCTCTAAAACACAAATTTGATCATGCTTACAAACCTTTAATTTCTTCCCACTTTTCCCTGTTCCTACCACCCTCACCCTAGTCCATGCCACCACCATCTCTTACCTGGACCACTGCTACAATCTCCTAACTTGTCTCTCCTTTTCCACTCACGTTCCCCTCTCAAGTCTGTTTTCCATGTAACAACTGGAGTGATCCTGTTAAAACCTGTCAGATCAAGTCACTCCTTTGCTTAAGGCCTCCAATGGCATCCCAATTCATCCCAAGTAAAAAGCCAAAGTCTTTACAGTGGCCTGCACAGCTCTTCACAATCTGGCCCCCCACTATCTCCCTGATTTCACCTTGAACCTCATCCCTGACCTACTGCTCTCTCCCCTTCACTCACGCTGCCTTCCTTAGGATTCCATACGCTATATATGCTTCTGCCTTGGAATCTTTGTTTTGACTGTTCCTTGACTTGGAAGTCTCTTCCTGTAGATAAACATGTGGCTCCCCACTCACTTCCTTCAGTTGTTTCAATGCCACCTCGTCACAGCAACCTTCCCTGACCATCCTACATAAAATAGCACCCTTACCCTGCACTGTCACTCTGTTTTTTTCCTTTTTCATAGTGCTTACCACCTGACATATCATATTTTCATTTGTTTACAGTCTGTATTTCACAGCAGAACGTAAATTCCAGGAGAGCAGGAATATTATCTATTTTCCTTATGGTTGAATCTCCATTGCCTGGAACAGGATTGGCACATAGTGGGTGCTCCACAAATATTTAATAAATACTTTTCTTGGGATTAAAAATTAGATTCCTTAATGTGAGCTTCATGGCACTTCATAACTTAGTCCCCACCTTACTTCCACAGCCTCAGCTCTGGTTTCTCCTCCCCTCGTACCCCATAATTCAGTGTGCAGAAGAGTTACAGCTCCTTGAAACCAAGTGATCTCTTTTGTCTCTGCAAGTGCCGCTTCAAAATGCTCAGTTTTCCCTCCTCTGCCTAGCTAACACTTATTCTCTCACCAAGACTCATTCAAGTTCTCTCCTTGGGGGCTCTAGGTCTGGGCTAAGTGTCCTCTCATCCCCCCCACGGCTCCTCTCCCTAGACCTCTCTCCAGCACAGCTCATTAGTTGCTATGTATGTTATGGTGCCTGTTACCTACTGTTCACTGTGCTCCTAGAGGGTCAAGACCTTGTCTCAGGCACCTTTCAATATCCAGAAGCCAGAACCATTTTGGTACATAAAAGACGGTCAGGAGTTTGCAAGATTAAATAGGTAAAATGCACTTTGAGATCCTTGGCGTACGTTAGCCACTCTGTG